TACTATTTTACATTCATTTAGTTGGCAACAAATCAAAGAAATTGATAATACTAAGTGTTGAGAAAAACATGAATCAACCATATCATTTACACATTGTCGGTGAGCGTAAAATTGATAAAACCACTTGGAAAAATTAAGTTATCAGTATTTTAAAACAGTAGTATTATCAAACCCTACAGAGGTCAGGATTTCCTTTTCTAGATACATAATCCACAAAAATGCCATGTACATTTATACCAAGAACCATGTACAAAAATGTCAACTTCAACATTATTTGTAATAGCAAAACACTGAATAACTAAAGTGTCCATCTAGACATGCATATACAAGTAGTTATAGTAGTTATAGTCATACTTTTTTTCTTTTTTTGCCATAGAGTTTGCATACTTGCTAGAGAACAACAGAGAAAGACAATAAGAGGGAAGGTGAGAAATCACCCCCACATCCCAGGTGGATGACCACGCCACAATCCCTCCTCCTCTATTCTCCTCTTGGAATTTTGGGCATATGCACACATGTATTCAGCGTGATTTTTCAAGCCACTGGGACTCTAACCATCATCAGCCTTGTGGGAGTCCAGTGCCTTAATCCCTATGCCACCTGCTGGCTCCAAATATTCATACTTTTTATGTAACTATTTTTAAACAGTAAAAATAAGTAAATAGCTATTCCAAATAACATAGATGAATGTTAATGACATATGGTGAGTCAAAATTGACAAACTCCATGCAACAAAATGTTATGATTTCAACTTTACAAATGACGTAGCTAAACAATATACCGTTTCCTTATAAACATGTATGAGATAAAACTTAAACAATCAAAATGATATAGAGTTAATGGTTACCTCTGGTGAGAAAATCAAGGTAAGGAAGGAATATAAGGTGTAAGTCATTAGTAATGTTCTAGTCCTTACATGAGTCAAACTAGTAAGCGTGCTTATTATAATAAACAAACTAATTACCTTAAATTAAACAGCAGATGCATATAATACAATAGTGTGTCATTACACACATTTTATGATTCATTTAATTCTGCCCACTCTGATACTGAAAAACTACAATATAGTATAAATTTTAAAACTGTTGTTTTAAGATTGATTTATTAGTAAGACAAAAATGTGCTAGGTTAAAAAATTACTGTTGAAGGGAATCAGCTTTAGTGTAATGGCTGTCACTGGACTCCCATGTAGTTGACCGCAATTCGAATCCTGGACCCAGCAGTTTAAACTCATGCCGGGTGCATGTGCGTGTGTGCCCAAGATCCCAAGGAGAATGGAGGAGAAGGGACTGCAGTGTGGCTGTCTCCCCTGGGGAATGATTTCTTGTTTTCTGTCTCTCTGTCTCTGTCTTTCTGGAGAGTGCATGTGCCCTATAGCAAAAAAAGCCTCTCAAAAAAAAAAAAATTTCTGTTGAAGAATCATTAGTAGGGTTTATTCTATTTTCTGAATTAAAGTAGTAAATTCTAAAACTTCGAAAAATGCTAAGAGTACCTAAAAACACTTAAATAAATTCATAGAAATACAGTATTTTTTTTTTAAAAAAAAAGATGTTTAGAGCTGTAAGTTACTTTTTTCTTTGTTTTTTGGGTTTTTTTTTTTTTTTTTTTTATATAGGGCACATGAGATCGCCAGAGAGATAGAGAGCTAAAAAGCGAGAAATCATCCCCCTCAATGGCCACACCACAATCCGTTTTCCTCCATTCTCCTCTATTCTCCTCTCAGGATTTTGGGTAGACGTGTATACACTCCTGGCATGAGTTTTAAGCCACCAGGTCCTGGACTTGAACTGAGGTCAACTATGTGAGAGGGAGTCCAGCTACATAACCATTACGCCATCTAATGGTACTGAAAGTTATTTTAAAGATCATCTAAAAGAGGCATCATTGAACATTTTCTATATGCCAAGCATTGTACTTGATATGTACTAGGTCATCAATCACTTAAAACTGTATGAAAGAAATACAATTAATATCAACATTTCATTTATGAGCAAACTTTGTCTAACAGGGTTAAAATATTTATTCAAATTCAAAAACTTCACAAGTAGAGGTATAATGTGAACTCACATCTATTTGATTGTATTGTAGATCCTATATAATTACCTATACATTTATACTACCTCATTTACGAGAGGAATTAGAAAGGTCAAGTAACCTGTCTAAAATCATACAACAAAGTAGTGGTCAAGTCAGGACTTGTAAGTGTTAAGTACCATATACCAGACATTACAGCAAGGACTTTATGAGACTTACAGTTAGATACTCTTTATATTTTACTATCTCATCTAGTTACAAAGTCTAAAAACAGTCATGACCTATTATTGTGCTTCAGTGATGTATCAGCCAAATGATGCATCACAAGCACACGTGTACACCCTGTATTTTTATATGCATTACTATATGAATCTGTACTACAAATAATGTTCATGTCTACAAAGAGTTTTTTAAAATGGCATATAGCAAAATGATCTATATTTATATTCCAATATATTTTTGTTTTAGTCAGTTATAGAATATTATTTAATTTGATGCTGAACTGCATAACATTATGTCCTCACCTGTGCTGAATGGTCTGAAACACTTTCCTGAGATAAAGGATAGTGTGTTCCTTGTGATTCCTGAAGCTTTTCTTTTAATTTAGCATTTTCTTGTTCTTTTTGAAATAGTTGATCTTGAAGGTTAATAACACTTTGCCGAAGCATAGCTTCATTTGATTTTGTAGTTTCAAAACAATTATGCAACTCATTGTAAAGCTGTTTCAAAAAATAATGCATAACATATTAATCATCAATAAAATAATTATGAGTCTAATTATTTATATATATATATATAGAGAGAGAGAGAGAAAGACTATACATGACATAGTCTTTGACCTCAGATTATTTCAATAACTTAAGAGAGAAACAAGATATAAACATAAGAGGGGACCAGTAGACGACATAGCAATAGTGTTGTTGGACTCATATGGCCGACCACAATTCAAATCCCGGACTTGGTAGCTTGAGACTCATGCCAGGTACGTGTCTGTGTGTGCCTAAGAGGAGAATGGAGGAGCAGAGATTGGAGGTGATTTCTTACCTTCTCTCTGTGTCTCTGTTTCTCTTTCTCTCTCTTGGCAAGCTCATGTGTTCTAAAGCAAAAACCTCAATATTTTTTTTTTTAAACTGTAAAGCCCAACCACAGTGGCACAAGCAGTAGGATATCACTGCATGGTGGCATAAGCTACATGGAAGGCCTAGGTTCAGTTTCCAGCCCAGTCTAAACAGCTGGCATGTACCTGAGGTCCTAGCTAAATGAGAGGCTAGGAAGAAGGGTCTCAATGAGGCAAGACTCTGTCAAAAACTAACCCCCCATAAAAAGTAATTAGTTAATTAATTTTTAAAAACTGAGACAGCATATGGTATATAAATGGTGTCATACAGAGAGTTAATACATGGATAGCAATGGATTTCAATCAGTACTCATAAATTTCCTTGGTGGTGATGAAAATCCTAACTAATGATTATGATTTAGTAAGGTATAATTCAATACTTTAGTAAGGTATAATCAATTACATACTAAATAGGTATGAATATCTGCTGCTGATACTAGGAAAGTAACCCAAGAACGAAGATCATTTTTAAAAAAATAAAGTCTATTAGTGAGATAGCGAAAACATATAATGAAAGCAAAACCCCCAAGTGGAAAAATCTCAAAATTACGTAGGTGACACAGTACATTTTTAGGTTTGCTTATCCAATAAAAGATAAGAAGTATCTTCTATTGGTTGGCCTTGCCTCATGGGAAGAAACTAGCAATCACACAATTTTAAGGATACTGCCTATGAGGAGGAAAAAAAGTGAAGAGATGAAGAGTCATCAACACAGACAAATTCCAGGGGGCAGGGAGGGAAAACAAAGTTATTAATAAGATGCAGATTTTCAAGTCATTTTTGTTCAGAAACAAAAGCATAGTGGACAATGCCACCATCCAAAACAAAATGGTGGAGCTGCTTTAGCTGATGGGGAGAAGACAGGTTCTATCCTCCTGTTTGTTATCATTCATGTACTAACAGAAACATACAAGAAACAATACAGACTCTTCAATGTACATGTCTAAAGTGTATATAATAAAGTTATTTATTTCATGCTGATCATAGATATTGTATTTTCATAATACTTCAAGACTAAAGAAAAAAAATACTCAAAATCTTAGGGATAGTAAGAATTGTACTATTTAACCTCTCTAAATCTTATCTTCCTTGACCATTATAACATCACTCTCATGGAGGTGATCTACATATAAACTAAATTATATAGATAAATAATTTAGCACAGTACATAAAACATATAAAGAACTCAATAATGGAGGGGTTTTTTCCCAATTACTCTCCATAATTATTGCTGCTGAGTCAGTTAGCTGGGTAAGTCTTCTTGGAAGACTCCTGAAACAACTGTAAAGTAAAACGACTATTAAAAAGAAGCACACAGAATAAAGAGGGTAAAAAAAAAATCCTTGGGAAATATCAATCCTCAAGACCTCCCTACATTACCTTTACTGTTTGTGCAGACTTGCCTATAAAATACTTTAATTGCCAGAAGGTGCATGTGCTCACCAGAGAGACAAAGAGATGGTGGCAGAAAGAAAGCACCCGCCCCCCCACAATGGGGCATGGTCATACCACAATCCATTCTTTTCCATTTCTCTATCCTGTTGGGATTTGAGGTACACACAGACACAAATATACCTACCTACATACACACACACACACACACACACTATTATTGTGCTTCAGTGATGTATCAGCCAAATGATGCATCACAAGCACACGTGTACACCCTGTATTTTTATATGCATTACTATATGAATCTGTACTACAAATAATGTTCATGTCTACAAAGAGTTTTTTAAAATGGCATATAGCAAAATGATCTATATTTATATTCCAATATATTTTTGTTTTAGTCAGTTATAGAATATTATTTAATTTGATGCTGAACTGCATAACATTATGTCCTCACCTGTGCTGAATGGTCTGAAACACTTTCCTGAGATAAAGGATAGTGTGTTCCTTGTGATTCCTGAAGCTTTTCTTTTAATTTAGCATTTTCTTGTTCTTTTTGAAATAGTTGATCTTGAAGGTTAATAACACTTTGCCGAAGCATAGCTTCATTTGATTTTGTAGTTTCAAAACAAATATGCAACTCATTGTAAAGCTGTTTCAAAAAATAATGCATAACATATTAATCATCAATAAAATAATTATGAGTCTAATTATTTATATATATATATAGAGAGAGAGAGAGAAAGACTATACATGACATAGTCTTTGACCTCAGATTATTTCAATAACTTAAGAGAGAAACAAGATATAAACATAAGAGGGGACCAGTAGACGACATAGCAATAGTGTTGTTGGACTCATATGGCCGACCACAATTCAAATCCCGGACTTGGTAGCTTGAGACTCATGCCAGGTACGTGTCTGTGTGTGCCTAAGAGGAGAATGGAGGAGCAGAGATTGGAGGTGATTTCTTACCTTCTCTCTGTGTCTCTGTTTCTCTTTCTCTCTCTTGGCAAGCTCATGTGTTCTAAAGCAAAAACCTCAATATTTTTTTTTTTAAACTGTAAAGCCCAACCACAGTGGCACAAGCAGTAGGATATCACTGCATGGTGGCATAAGCTACATGGAAGGCCTAGGTTCAGTTTCCAGCCCAGTCTAAACAGCTGGCATGTACCTGAGGTCCTAGCTAAATGAGAGGCTAGGAAGAAGGGTCTCAATGAGGCAAGACTCTGTCAAAAACTAACCCCCCATAAAAAGTAATTAGTTAATTAATTTTTAAAAACTGAGACAGCATATGGTATATAAATGGTGTCATACAGAGAGTTAATACATGGATAGCAATGGATTTCAATCAGTACTCATAAATTTCCTTGGTGGTGATGAAAATCCTAACTAATGATTATGATTTAGTAAGGTATAATTCAATACTTTAGTAAGGTATAATCAATTACATACTAAATAGGTATGAATATCTGCTGCTGATACTAGGAAAGTAACCCAAGAACGAAGATCATTTTTAAAAAAATAAAGTCTATTAGTGAGATAGCGAAAACATATAATGAAAGCAAAACCCCCAAGTGGAAAAATCTCAAAATTACGTAGGTGACACAGTACATTTTTAGGTTTGCTTATCCAATAAAAGATAAGAAGTATCTTCTATTGGTTGGCCTTGCCTCATGGGAAGAAACTAGCAATCACACAATTTTAAGGATACTGCCTATGAGGAGGAAAAAAAGTGAAGAGATGAAGAGTCATCAACACAGACAAATTCCAGGGGGCAGGGAGGGAAAACAAAGTTATTAATAAGATGCAGATTTTCAAGTCATTTTTGTTCAGAAACAAAAGCATAGTGGACAATGCCACCATCCAAAACAAAATGGTGGAGCTGCTTTAGCTGATGGGGAGAAGACAGGTTCTATCCTCCTGTTTGTTATCATTCATGTACTAACAGAAACATACAAGAAACAATACAGACTCTTCAATGTACATGTCTAAAGTGTATATAATAAAGTTATTTATTTCATGCTGATCATAGATATTGTATTTTCATAATACTTCAAGACTAAAGAAAAAAAATACTCAAAATCTTAGGGATAGTAAGAATTGTACTATTTAACCTCTCTAAATCTTATCTTCCTTGACCATTATAACATCACTCTCATGGAGGTGATCTACATATAAACTAAATTATATAGATAAATAATTTAGCACAGTACATAAAACATATAAAGAACTCAATAATGGAGGGGTTTTTTCCCAATTACTCTCCATAATTATTGCTGCTGAGTCAGTTAGCTGGGTAAGTCTTCTTGGAAGACTCCTGAAACAACTGTAAAGTAAAACGACTATTAAAAAGAAGCACACAGAATAAAGAGGGTAAAAAAAAAATCCTTGGGAAATATCAATCCTCAAGACCTCCCTACATTACCTTTACTGTTTGTGCAGACTTGCCTATAAAATACTTTAATTGCCAGAAGGTGCATGTGCTCACCAGAGAGACAAAGAGATGGTGGCAGAAAGAAAGCACCCGCCCCCCCACAATGGGGCATGGTCATACCACAATCCATTCTTTTCCATTTCTCTATCCTGTTGGGATTTGAGGTACACACAGACACAAATATACCTACCTACATACACACAAACACACACACACACACATATATAAATACACACACACACCCAGTGTCTTTTTCGAGTTACCAGGGCCAGGATTCAACTGTGGTTGCCCATGTACCTTCCTGCTCCTCTAATCATCAGACAAATATATTTTTTAAAAATTTATTTATACTCCTTTATTTAGTTTGAAAGTTTCAGGACTTTCTAGTTACAACTTACAGATTTTTAAAATGGAACACGTGCTCAACAAAACAGGATTAACTTATAATATTTCTGTTTTGAGTCTTTTTGGATTATTTTATATATATATATATATATACACACACACACACACACATACACTCACACACACACACATACACACTGGCCCAGACAAATTCTACCAAATTAAATACATGTATCTATATTTTAAATGATTAAACTTTAATAACCATAAGGAAAACTGAAAAAAATTTAATATTACCAAACTGAATCATTCTTCATTTTAAAGTAACCGATATAAAAGGAAGTAATAAAGAAATGCTAAAATGTGAAAAAAATGAATTCTATATGTTCATAAGTTCATACACATAAATTTATACTTTTATGAAAAATAACATACTTTTTGATATGATATACTTTCAGCTGTATGAACATCTTCCTGATTTTTCAGTACTTTTTGTGTGTCCATATTGAGAACCTGAAGCTGTTGGATCAGCTCTGCTTGCTGGGCTGTATGTGCACTGTTCTGTTTGTAAAGATTCTGCAGCTCCTGCAATTCCTTCCTGTGCAAAGCAAGCAATAAATAGAGAAAAACATGAATAAAGATCACCTTGGTTAAATAATTGTGTTCATCCAAAGTTATAGATCAGCTTCCTATTTTTCATCTAGTACTTTTTACTGCAGGCAAACTTATTAATAAAAGAAATAACATAAAGTATTTAATATTTATCACATACATCTAGAAAGTATTGATAAAACTACTATGACTTTCAAAGCCAAATACTTATCAATTTTCTTTTATAGCTAGATAGTAATAAAAATCCTGGATATACAGTCATAGTACCACCTTCTTATTGAAATTAACTTAACACTTCAGTTCCAAGAATTGATAAGCACTGATGCCAACTATAGTTATCAGAGTAGTTTTGAATACAGGGTAAAGGAACCTTTCACTTTATATTATGAAGACTTAGAAAGATAGTAAAAAGAATCCCAAAGGCAAATGAAGTTTTCATATCAAAGTTCCTTAAAAGCACCACTGCCAATTCTAGTTTATAACCTCTGAGGCCTGAGGTGGGATACCTGGGACTCTCATAATTCAGTTTGAAGAAAAGCAACACAAGGGAATACCAATCCTTCTAACCCGCACAGGGTGAAACTGGTAAGGAGGGAGACTAATGAATGGGTAGCGGTAATAAGGGCACTAAGTGTCCGGGAATGTCAGACCTCTAATGTAAAGGCTTTCCAGAGTCCTGTGGTAGTGACATCTGTGTGATACAGATCACATAAAACTGGACATTATTCTATATGTTCAACAGAGATGTAGTTAATCAAACCAGTATACAGTATTAAGTTTTGGAGACTGATTTTTTTTTTTTTTTGAGAGAGAGAGTTTTGCCATAGGGCACGCGAACCCAGAGACATAGAGAGACAGAAAGCAAGAAATCAACCCCCCCCCCCAAGGGGGAATGGCCATGCTGCAATCCCTTCTGCTCCATTCTCATGGTATTCTGGGCGCAGACACACATGCAGTTGGCAGGAGTTTCAAGCTGCTAGTCCAGAACTGGAACCCAGTCAACTATGTGGGAGTCCAACATCGTAACCACTATGCCACCTACTGGCCCCAGAAACGGCATTTTTTAAAATGAAACTTCACCTGTAACTTCAAACTGGTGACTAATTCACTTTAATAAATCTTAAAAGAAAGACAAAGCAAAAGAGATAAGTAGAGAACTGTTTAAGATGAATGAAAATTAATATATGAGAAATGGGTACTGCCTACTAGAGGTTTAAAACATTAATGATGAACCACAACTATAATCCCTGCAAACAAGAAATACATACAAATGCACCAACTTTCTGTAATCATACAAAAAATTGAAATGTACATTAAATAAAAGTCCCAACATGGAGAAGGGAGAAAAGAGAACCAATAATGGCACACTGCTTTCAGAAAACTTAATACTTATGAGAGGAGAAGACTAGTAATAACACAGGCTGAGTATTGCCATTTTCCACTGGCAAAAATTATCAAAGAGACCGCAATTAAGTAGGAAAAATTCCATCAGAGTATAGTCAAGATATAAATTAACCAGGAGGTCAAATAAATGTTACATTTAGAGATGGGATATAATGAAGATAAAAAATACCATCTTTCAATAAATATCATCAGCAAATTTACATAACCTCCAATGTTAGAAGACATTTGCTATTTCTGAATGTGAGGCCATGAATAAGTAGTTGGTTTTCATTTAAGAATCATGTGCACCAAGCTAGCAGGTGACATGGTGGTTGAGGTGCTGGCCTCCCACATGTTCGACCACATGTTCAATAGCCAGACCTGGTGGCTTGCTTTCTCACTTTCTCTCTCTCTTTAGTAGGTGCATGTGCCCTATAGCAAATTAAAAATAACAACAATAATAAATAAAATTGAGTAAATAATTGAAAAAAGAATCATGTGCAACAAAATATATGTAACTTAGACATAAGAAACACATTCAAGAGTAAGGAGATGTTCATACAACTACGAGGCACTTGAGATGAAAAATCAACTAAGGGAAGAGCATATTTTTGTCATTTTACGGGAGCATTCTCAATAAGCAGAATGGAAGCATAATTTTATTTTATTTTCCTAGGGAGTTTTTTTATTTTGTTTTTTAATAGATATTCTTGCTATACGGCATGTGGGCTCACCAGAAAGAGAGAGAGACAGAAAGTGAGAAATCATCCCCCCAGGGGGAATAGCCACATCACAATCCCTTCTCCATTCTCCTCTTGATATTCTGAGCATGCATGCATGCACATGGGACTAGTATGAGTCTTGAGCCACTTAGGTCTGGGACTTAAACCATGGTCAACCATGTGGGAGTCCAGTGCCTTGACCACTATGCTACCTGCTGGCCCCAGAAATATAATTTTACATTATGTAGATTTTTTCTTTGTTCTCCATAGAATACATGGTATGATACATACACTAACACTGCAAATAAAAAACATGGAACTTAAAAGGGCTGGATCCCACATAGACAAACACACGGTTTCATTCTTAGGCCAGGCACATATGCATGCATATCCAAAATCTTGAAGGAGTGAGAGATAGAGAAGGAAATGCGGCATGGCTATGCCCCATAGGGGGTGCTTTCTCTGTCTCTTTCCAGTGAGCTCATGCACCCTTTGTGGGCATGAGGGAGGGGAGGAGGAGGAGTGGTAGTACCTAATGAGCATCAAAGTAGCCAAACAAGGCTTTTTCTGGAGGGAGGGGGCATGATTTTTACTATAGGACACATGAATTTGCTGAAAAGATGGACAGTGAAAAGGCAAGAAGTCACCCCCCCAGGGGGTACAGCCTTGCCCCAGTCCCTTCTCCACTCTTCTCTTGGGATTTTGGACATGCATGCACATGTACCCAGTGTGAGTGTCAAGCTGCCAGATCTGAGACTCAGACCATGATCGGCCATGTGTGAGTCCAGTGCCTTAACCATTACACCACCTGCTGGCCCTAGACGAACAAGGCCAACAAAAGACCACTTGAACCTCCTTGACAGTAATAAAAACCCTGGATGTACAGTCGTAGTGCCACTTTCTTATCAAAATTATCAATAACTTAGCACCTCAGTTCCAAGAACTGATAAGCACTGAAAAGAATGCATTTGTCTAGATTTTATCTCATTTTTTAAAAAAGTATGGGAATCAAGGAGGACGTATTAAAAGACTTAAAATTAAGGAAAATACTTTTTGTGTATATTCAGAAGAAAAATGTACTTCTGAGTAGGAGTTACTAAAAAATGAGAAGTTTAGAGAATGTAAGAAAAAGAAGCCATCATAGGCCCAATTGTGGTGGCACAGGTGGTAGGGTGCTACTAAATGATCCTGGGGCCATACAGAAGGCCTGGGATTGGGTTCTAGGTCAACCAGAACACAGCAGACGTGCCTATGGGTGTACCCATTAGTTCAGATGACTAGAAAGCTGGAAGGAGAATTATGGCATGGCAAGAACCTATCAAGGCTAAATCTTAAACGAAAGAAGAATTAAAGGAAGTAAGACATTACTAAACTTCCCTTTATCCTTTTCTCTATCTCTCTTTCCACTCTGCTCCTCCAACATGAAAGAAAAACAAAAAAGGAAGCCATAATACCTTTCTAAAATAGGAATAGAAAGTCAGAATCTGAAGGCATTTTTTTGCTCACTGCTATAAGCAAAGCATCCTGTCAGATTCAGCCTCATCTGGCTCCTAAATTCGTTTTTCCTTATTCTGCAGCAGTCTATTAACTGCCACTTCAATCTACCAAATTTAGAAGGTTTTAGTGATTCCATCACTTGTGGCCAACCAGCAGCATGCCTAGAATAAACTACAAACAGGGCACAACCTAAGCAGCAAACTTTGACCACTAGAAGGCAAAACACGAAGGCAAAACACGAGGAGAACACAGATAAATTAACTTCTTCCACATGACAGATTGTTCTAGGGTGTAACTTCTCTGTCCAGAATCAACCAATGTGGCTAATTCAGTGCATCTGCTGTCTCTTCACAACTAATCATGAAGCAGGGGACAGTACAATAACATGCTACTCCTAACGTGCTACCTTGAATTATTTATTATCCTTCCTTTCCTCAGATTCTCATTCCCCCAACCCACTCTACTCTTGAACTGAATCCCCCAGTAAGTAATCAGTATGAATACCTCACTCAGGCTTTGTTTTCTTAGCTATCTGAAAATAGTTGTGAATTGAAGAAATAAAAATAACAGCATAAAGGGTGGGCTTTTTTTTTAAAAAAAGCATACCTTTTTATAAAAACAAAACAAAACAAACAAACAAAAAAAAAACACGCACCGTCATAGTATTAAAAATCCAAAATCAGTGCAGTTATAAGCAGAATCAAAGCAATGAAAAATAAAATTAATCCTATTAGGTTCAAACTTGAGACGTTCCCCTAGAAACAAGTCAAAAGGTATAAAGAAATCTGGTCTGAGCTGAAAGAAAAGATGCTGACAACCAACAGTGCTTCCTTCCATCTCAAGAGGATGTTAAGTTCTATAAAAAATATTGTATTGCTGAAAGATAAATCTAATGATCTTTCAGTTACAGTGATGCTAAGGGATTTAGCAGGCCATTGGATAAATTAGAAGTATTCCTCTAGAGACCATGTTTGATAGTAAATACTGATAAAATACATAGTTTTACTACGTTGTTTTACAATTTTAAAAACTGTGGTAGCTTGCAAATGCAAAGATTTATGGCTTGCTCATATTTATCAATTTTTTTTATTCTAATACCCAAATGAGAGCATCAGAGTGCATTGAAAATATACCACTTTCTGAAAAATGAAGGTAAATCAAGCAAAGCCTCCTTTAAAACATTTGTCAGGACATGGTACATGCTGTTTCACTTTTGTTCCTCTGGCCAAAATAAGTCACATGGCTAAATCTGATGCCAGCTGGGGAGAAAGCAAACACCAGCAACTGGGCAGCTTTGGTGAAGATGGACCCATAAGATGGAAAAAAAGAGCACAGAAGAGAACATGTCAAGAATAATAAACTTCAGGCTGGCTTCCACACAGCG